CCAAGTGGGCAGGGGTTGGGAGAGGTCTGAGTTCTGCAGGGGAGCTATCTCTTTATGATTTTCCTGTTAATGAGGGGGGTGGATTTGGAGCCAATGTTTCAGAATCGTAATGAATGAGGATTACTCTTATCTTTTGATAAATGGGTGGCTGATGGGGGTGTGAGGGATGAGAGGGCAAGGAGGTGAATTTTGACCAGGGTTCAGCCACCAATCAGGAATGAGAAACTCTGGCCCCCTGATGGTGAGGCTGCCATTTGAGGGAGGGAGGGGGTTCTGAGTGGGCTGTGTAGGCTGCAGCATGTGCTGAGATGCAAAGTACCATGCAATTAATGATTTTCTCCACCCTGCCAGAGTGGGTACTTTCTGTTTTTCTCAGTCATAGCTCCCTGTTTGTTTCTTTCAGAGAACTTACTGCAATCTGTAATTATCTTCCTTGTTTTCTTGTTTGTCTGCCTTCCCTTCCAGACTCTAAACTCCAGGAGAGCAGAAATCTGGTTTCTCTTGTTCCCTGCTCCAGCCGGAGCACCTGGCCCCAAAGGCACTAGGAGCTTCTGTTCCAGCTGAAGACCTTGGGTGACTGCTCCTGTCTGGGACTCAAGCTAGGAGTGGTCGCTGTGGGGAGGAGGCACCTGGAATTCCTTAGCTTAGAGAGCAGTATGAGTGAGACGGGTGGACTAGAGACGAATTCAAGCACGTGGATCCAGGGAGATGCAGGTGTGCTGTGGGTGTGGGTGTGGAGTTGCACTAGAATCTGAGAAGATGAGGCCCAGCCTGGGAAACAGCAGAGGGGCTGAAGAGGAGATGGAACAGTTGAGAAATATTTAAGAGATAAATTCAGCAGGGCTTGGTGATTAATTGGATATTGCAGAGAAGGAAATTGGGGTACCAAGAATGATCCCAAGGCTGGAAAATAATCAGCGCCACAATCACCTCTTTTTGGCCTGTAGTTTCCCCTGGTCTGGAGGCACAGAAATAGCCTCTGGACTCCTCTGCCGCCCCAGGGGCGCAGGTCTGGTCTTGAAGACAGACACTCGCTCACGACAGGCGACGTGGGGCAGGGGGTAGGAGTGGTGGTCCCAGGGAGGCATTTCAGCGGGGTCTCCCCAGAAGCACAGGTGTGTGCCAGGATGGCAAGAGGTGGGCAAGCAGATTAGGGCTGGAGGTGCAGAACGAGGAGACGCAATAGCACGGAAGATGTCGAGCGGCGGGAGCACGGGGGTGTGAGCGCGGGATGGTGTCCGCTGCGAGCAGGGCTGGGGTCGGGACCTCTCTCCCAGTCAACCGGCCCTAGCTCACAGGTCACCCCGGGCCGTATTCACAACGTTGGCTTGGCTGGTAAGCCACCAGGTAAGGCAGCCGGAAACCCGGGCGGCGGGAGCGAGGGGGAGTGGGTGACCCTCGCTGGAGACCCGCGAGTCCCTCCTGTACCCGAGTCTCCGGGAAGCGGTGGATTTGGGCAGAACCATTCTCGTAGATGGAGAGGGGAAGGGCGGTCCTACACGCTGAACCCAGCACGGAGCCAGCCAGAACGTGCGCTCGACTCTGCTCCTTGCTCTTCGTTTATTCTTGTCCTATGTTCCGCCACCACTAGCTTCTGTTCCACGCGACCCTAAGACCCGGGCACCGCCGGTTGCTCCTCGGCCACCCCCGTCGCTCCGCGTGGTACGGCCCGGCGGGGCGCCCGCTCCGGGCACAGGTTATAAAGGCCGGGTTTTCGGAGCGGACTGCGGAGTCGAGATGCGCCCGAAGGAGCCGGGACGGAGCTGCGCCGGGGACGGGCCGGGGCCCGCACCTGGACCCAGGCCCGGGGACCCAGCAGCAGTCAGCTCCGCACCCCCGCCCGCAGCCAGTCCGGGCCGAGAGCCGTCGGCGCAGCCCGAACGCGCTCCCGGGCAGGCGCCGGGGGCTGGTCCGGGAGCAGCATCCGGATCCCAACCCGTCTCCGAAGCCCGGGCCGGAGCTCGCTCCGCCTCCAAGGCCGGAGCCAAGGCAGGAGCCCAGCGCGCGTCCGCATTCGCGGGCGTCCAGGCGAAGGCCCAGCCCGTGCCCGACAGCTCGGATGCACCGTGGACCCGCTTCGTATTCCAAGGGCCCTTTGGTCCCCGGGCCACTGGCCTGGGGACTGGAAAGGCGGCAGGCATCTGGAAGACGCCGGCCGCCTACATTGGCCGGCGGCCCGGGGTGTCCGGCCCCGAGCGCGCCGCCTTTATTCGGGAGCTGGAGGAAGGTAAACTGAGTCCCCGGGATCCCCGAGCGGGTGGGACTCGGGCAGCTGCAGGAAGGAGGTGGTCCTGTCGGGTCCAGGCGCCCGGCGCCCTGCGGCGCTCGATCTCACCCCTCCACCGCCCTCGCGAAGTCGCTGTCTGGTCGCCCCTTTGCCTCCTCCCTGGTTCCTCTCGGTGCGTCCGGTCCAGGGCCCAAGCGCTCCGCCGTCCCCCTCTACGCGCCTGTTGCTGCGACAGATCTGCACACTCTCGGTGCCCCTCCCCGGTCTGCCGCAGTGCCAGGAGAGGGGCGGGGG